AGGTCAAGCATAAGTTTAGGTATGTATTGAGATTAAGAAAGCATTTTTTGTGCAGGTGGAGCAAGGAATACTTAACAAGTTTAAGAGAGTGTCATAAGGTTCGCAAAGTAAATGGTAGTGTGGGTCCGAAAGTAGGTGATGTAGTTCTTGTGTTTGAGGAAAGTTTGAAAAGAGGATTTTGGAAAATAGCGAGAATCGAGGGATTGATCATAGGAAAAGAAAATATAGTCAGAGGAGCGGAAATCAAAATCGTTAGCAATGGAAGGCCACTGCACATAAGCAGGCCTCTTCAGAAACTGTATCCACTAGAGATGGATGCAAAGGAGAGTAAAGACAGATGTGTAAAAATAGAGTAACAACAAAGTAGTGACAGAGGTAAAGTTTCAAAAAAGTGTAGCAGTGTAGAAAGTCAAAGGAGACCTAGAAGTGCAGCAGCTGTGGATGTATGTTGACGATTAAAAGTTTTGTTCAACCCTAAACGCTCAAAAAGGGGGAATGTGCCGGAACTTGTGTAAATAAGTACTAGATAATTTTCATTTGATACTAGGAACTTATGGAAGAACGGAAATAGAAACTTATGTTAATACTTTTTTAGTTATGACACGTTGAAAGTCAGGGTGCTTCTTTCACTGGCTGTGAATGTAAAATCATGAAATTTTTAAGATTATCTGTGATGCTGCAAAGTTATATTGAGTAAAATTGAGAATTTTGTCAACTGCGCGTACGGTAGGATAGTATAGAGTCCCAAAAAGGAATCGACAGACGCATAAATGCTTTGTAATAACGCGGAAAGGAGATAATTGCTACACAAATAAATAAACCATATCTTTTAATTTATGAACTGGGTTTTAATACTTCAATTTTTAAAGAATTTAACGGCCCTCAAAACTAATAATAATTTCTCTTTTATAAACAACACACATTTTGTATATTTTAATAAGTATAACAAACTCATATCTTAAATATCTAAAGCACAGGTGACATATTTTCATATTGACAGCAGAGAAATTTGATTCATAGAGCACATTCAAGTGGGCATACATAAAAATAAAGAATTTTTGAGTATTTAACATTGACTACTTCCTAACTTTTCCATGCAAAAAAAGTGGTTTTTATATCCGCGACTTTACCCGTGACAGTTAGATACACTCAAAGTATACTATCCCGACATGTATAACCTACTCATAAATTTTACAAGCATTTAATCAAAGCCTTTCAGACAATCCGATTTTTCTTCTTTTTGTGGGAAAAAGTCCGTATTTTATTCTTTTTGCCCGCAATCCATATATAATTATATGAATAGTTAAAACTACTGCGTCAAAGCGCAACACGCATGTAACACGCATGTAACTTGGATAATCAACATGGTTATATGACAATAGAAATGGAATTGCCTTCGAGGGTTGTCGTTTTGAAGAAATTGAATTTAGTTTGGCGTTTCACATTTATATTTTATGATTTGCATTGTCCTGAACTAAATTTTATGTTTTTCATAAAATTTTGTCGATGAAAAAAGGCATATTCATGTTGTACACTCATATAATAACATACCATTGATCAATAAACGTCCCTTGGTTGTATTTAAAGTATTAAAACGTTGCAATACATCACTTACCGCAAGAAGGGAATCTTGAAGTTAATCTTAGTCTTAATCTTAATCAAGATGGGTAGTTAACACCTGAACCGCAAACCACATAGCCATGATAACGTGACTTTTTGCGTTTACTGTTGATGGAAAATAGCACCTCTCTATTATTAGCTTTTTAGTTAAGACAATGTGCGATTTTCTAGCAACACATTCAACACTATAGTGCTTAGTTGTCACTTATAATTTTGCATTGGCGGGAATACATGCTGATGACCATCTGATAAATACATTAACATGTGTACCACGCCACAGAGTTTTAAAACCCTAACCTATAGTGTTCATTCGAGGTCCTTTTGCTCCAATAGGATATCTTGCTGATGTTGGTCATTTTCTCTCCAATCTCACATTTATGTTGCGATAAATTAATTGTGGTTACACGATTTGTCTCCCAAAATTTACTTAACTTCTACTATTGACGCCGTGTTGAAAAGCCTATTCAGCTATATTATTTAAAGTGCTACCGAAGTGAAATTTTGGATATCGATTTTCCTATACTCAAGTAGTTCAATCTTTCCTGATCACTTTGGTACAATTTTATTGAAAATTGAAGAAAGGGATTATTAATAAATTCTTGCTTAAGTTTTCGTTATGCGTGTTAATTTTAATCGTGCAATATTATACGAATGAAACGTAATTAAAGTCGAAGTAAGTACAGTTTAATTTTCAATTTGATTTTGTAAGGAAAGGTTAAAATCTTGCCATGGATCATTTTCCGATCTTTATTTTTATGTTGTATTTGATGATGCTTCGTAATTTTGTTATGTTAAATCAAAATAAATAAGTGACAAATATACATTTACAGCATTAAAATTGTTAAAACCTTTTCATTAAAGTTATTTGCCACAAATTTGTCACAATGTAAATTTGCCTGTCATCTGTCACATAATAGGCCCGTGTGAAGAATTCAGTGGGTGAGATTGTAAGTGCTTTGTAATGTGATACAACGATTTTCTGAAATTGCATATCGTATTGAGAATTACTCATGCATCACATTAAAAACAACAATTTTACACCGAGAATAGGCAAAAGCACCTAGCTATTTTTTTAAAAGTATAAAAGAGACAACAATGTTAATATCAGGTTTTGTTATTTTTTCACTTCACTTAAGGCTTCACTTGTTGAATATTACTCATAAACTAAAAATGCATTTAATGTGTAGTTGATGATTGACCTATCTTCGTATCAGGGCCTCTCCACATTTAATCCCATGTTAATCAACAGTAGTATGAATTAAAATGTGATAAATTGAGTTAACATTTGTCATTTTCAGAATCATCATCGTGATAATCGTGTAAAATATTATCATAATCTTCCTCATGATAAAACTCATCAATTTGACACACACATCAAAATTTTCTTTACTTTCAAAGTCCATTATACTCATAAATCTGCACTAGCCCTTCTAGAATTAGCTTTGGCAGCCTCAAAGACGAATGACTTAATATTTATTCTATGAAATATTTTTCTTACAAAGATTGATGGAATTTTACGTCGGACTTCAGATATTCCATTACAATTAACTTTATTATATATCTTGATTAAATGTACGTTAAACAGTTTGAATATCACCAACATAATTCAAAGATAGTATTACTCTATTTTAAATGGTTTTAAAATTTTATTATAAATTGAAATTAAAGAAGGAACTTACAGTTTACGACAGACTTGTCTAATTTACTTTGTAAGTCTGAAAACACCAGCTATTATTAGCATTTATTAAAATAAAATGTCACATAGTTTAGTTTTTTCTTTATGCTCACTTGAATTATTTGCTTCCAATTAGAACAGAAAGCACATGAATTGAGACAGTTTCCCATTTTGTAATTGCTGTTAACTTCACTTCAATGGATCTTTTGCCAATTGTTTGATGAAGAGGAAGAAGGTAATCGTTCAGACGTAAAGAGTATAACTCAGTTATTGCTCTTTGTGGAGAAAACCATATCCCGGCTTCTTTTTCGTCAACTACCACGTTTGCCTTTTGATTTGGTATTATTGAGTGATATTCTCGACGAAGAACGACACCAATGTTGCTTTCAGAGATAAGAAATGTATGATCCACAGTCTGTCCGGGCTCCAAAGACACAACTGTTTTGTTTGAAAGTTCACCAGCTTGGTTTTCGTACATACTTTGAATGTTGAAATATTTAACTCTTGCAGGAATAATTTTTAATCTGGGAGACAAACCATTTTCGAAACTATAATAATTCACTTTGTCAGTGTACAAACCACCAGAGCCTTTGCTACCATAGTACAATACAACAGTATAAAGGGAATCTGGTAAAATATTTTGGTTGAATGACGATGATGTCTTTAGAAACTTTCGATAGTTATTCGATTTTTTGTCAAAGTGAGACTCTAAGTAAATTCGAATACCATTAATAAACAAGATTGGATCCAATGTGTTTTGTCGAAAGCATTTAATCATTCGCATCTCTTTTGTTTTGTAAAAGGAAGGAATGCCATTAAATGGTCCGGTGATGTTTTTAGTTCTAAAAAAGTCGTGACAATAGTGAAAGAAGTCTTCCAATCCAGTTCCAGGAAATATTGGAGCAGTTGCATTGTTTGTTTCAATATTTATATCCAATTCTTGCGCTTGTGAATTTTTTTTACTCCTCCAAAAAAAGTTGACAGCCACAACATGACCCCATTCATTTTGCAAATGAAAAATATCTTTATTGTGTTTTAAATCAAAACCTTGTTGAGTCAATTGAGCACTAAAGTAGCCAGTTAGTCGGGGGTGATATATTTTATAATCTAAAAGCTTTGTTGAAAACTGTGAACAAATAAGAGCAGATTTAAATCCATTTGGTATACTAACAGTGATTTTACCTGACTTCCAAAAGGGCATTTCATAGAAGAGATATGCCGTCCAGTCGAATGGCTTTAGTTTCGATGCAGCGTATCCTGTCAAGTCACAGTTCATTTTTCTTAGTCCTGTTGTCAAACTTTCTATTTCACGAATGAAGTCAAGGCCAACATTAAATATTCCTCCCAATGGAATATCTTTTACCTGTGGTTTTTTACCATCCCATTGCATTGATATAAGAACGCTCCTCCAATTTTCTGAGATGGTTGCTTCTCCTTTGATTAAATCATACGGTCGAACACGCATTGATTGAATTACTTTAGCTGCTTCATTACTCGAGCTCTCAAACAAAACTACTTTATCATTCTGTTTTACAATATGACATACCATTGAACAGCTTGAACCCATACCTGGCGCATATTTTTCGGGTTCAGAAGCCATAATGGATAAAATGGATGTCATTTTATTCAAGTGCTTGCGTTTTAATGAGTGAATATCTTGGGTAACATAATCTTTAAAATGTGTGTTTATTTTTGCTCCGTGTTCAAATTTGTTTACAGTTTCTCCAAAATATACCTTAACGTTGCATGCTGTCTTTGTATCATGGCACACTTTTTATTGATTCCATACATCATCGCTTTTAAACTGTTCACTGCCCGGCCACCTGGTAATGATGCGAAAACTTTTTGCATAGGCAATTGGGTGCGTTAATTGAAAACCAGCCTTGTTATTTTGGTCATCAAATCGAAAGAACGTCTTTGGAAAAGGATAGGCAAAATTTTTCTTCCAAACGGTCGGTACTGTAATTAATTCTTCTCCGTCAACCTTTAAAAAAAATTTTTGAAAATCATTACATAAGTTTTGTAAATATATTTAGAGTACTGTAATTATTTACACTTATTTGTTGAAACGAAAAAAAAATGAGCATGTCGTGCCAGAAAAGTATTCGTACATTGACCATAAAATCTTTCAGTTCAATATGCTATTCTGATAAGTAAGAGAATTATGAAAAAACGTTACTTCAGGCATAGTAGTGCACTATGATTGGGTCAGAAACATATAGTCATCCGAAAAAGTTTTGTTTTGGACAGGAGATACAATATGCGCGTAGTTTTAAATTTGATTTTAATAGTAAAGATTTTAAGAGTAAAGCCAGGTAGAAATAGCAGTCAAGAAAAAAAACTCGAAACATGAGTTTAATTATCCAGAAGGCACAATTACAAACGATGTTTTTTTTTACTCACGAAAACTAGAAAAGTGCAGGCACGAAACCGTAAAAACAGCGAGGAGAAGAAAAGTGGAAAGTTTTTTCTTTTTTTAAAAAAATGCCAAATAAGAAACTTTTTATCAACCTCTTTTTATGTGTTATCGCAGTACAAACATCTTTCTTAGTTGAAAGAAACCAGCATGGAAGACTACATTTATTATACTTTTTCGCTTATTAACAAAAGAGACTTGTCAATGTGAAACATATTGATGAATAATATTTGACATAATAATTCAATTCTATTATTTTTAAAAACACGGCGTCGTTGATATTCGTTTAAAAGAAACTGAAATATGTCTTACTGAAGACAACTCGTCAAAAATAGAATATATTGATTTTGTCCTTATCAAGGCACATTTGACTTCCATGTATAATGTCGTTTCTCAAAAATTAAAGCATCGACTAAAGGATTGGTATTATGGTTAATTATACAAATAATAAAATTACGTAAGAGATTTAAGAGGAAAATAAACGTGGCAATGCAAGCTTTAAATTGCTAATTATCAGACTATATAGATAAAAGTGTATAGTCACCGACAATGACTTCATTAATAAGGCTATATTAAAGTTTGACAGCTTATTTTCATTTTGATATTTTTTTGTGACAAAACAAATCATACGTATCTATAGAAATAATCTTAATTTTTTTTAAATATATAAATTTAATTTATCAATAGATGAAGAAGAAAAATTTCGAATTTTGAAAGTTTTAGGGGATGCTTTTAAGTTATTTTTAAAGAAATTAAATATAGACTTCCACGTTTAATCAAAGTTTTTTGCTCTTTTTCTAAGGCATGTTTTGAAGGGAAACTCACACCCTAATTTAAAGTAGCTCTATGAATTTTTGGGCTTTTTACAAATCAAAATTCGCTATCATGCTGCTGCAGAATCTAAGTGCATTTAATCACAAAGGTGTAAAGCTTAAAATTCTGATATGAAAGATATATGTTAAAGAAAGAGAAAAATCTTAGATGTGCCAAATGGTCAAAACACAAAAAAATGTTGTTGCACCAGGATGTAGTGTATGTGCACAGCTTCCGATGGAGAAAAGGAAACTGTCAAATAAAATGAAGAAATAAAAGGGATAGTGAAAAAGCAAGGTGAAAGTGCAAAGTTCTACCGTATAAACGTAAATGTTTATGCAAGTAGAGTTGACAGGTTTTTAGACTATTCCAATTTACCATTCCAAATTGAATCTTTTTTGTACTTTTAGTTAAACATCTACCTTCAAAGCTAAAGAATCATAAAGCTGTTTCAAAGAGCCCTGTCAGAAAAAACTTGGATGACACATGCAAATTTTGTGTATTCGACTATGACGCTGATAGCGTTATATTTGGAATGGATTATATTCTTCTATTAATAAAATCACATCCCAAAAATGAAACTGAAACTAAAACAAAAACAGAAACAGAAACAGAAACAGAAACCATCGGGAACAAACGCTCAACTGATATACGGTTAGTTAACATACGGTTAGACTACACAGCCACTGAATGTTGTCCTAATTTAAGTATTTTCGCAATTATAAAAAAATTCTGTGGTTATTTGTAGTGGCTTATTAAAAGTGATTCTTGGATTACGTATGCTACTGAAAATTCTAGTGATTTATTTGATATGTTTTACCCAATATATACTTGTAAATGTGCCAAATGGTCAAAACACAAAAAAATGTTGTTGTACCAGGATGTAGTGTATGTGCACACCTTCCGAGAGAGAAAAGGAAACTGTCAAAGAAAGTAAAGAACTAAAAGGGGTAGTGAAAAATAAAGGTGAAAGTGCTAAGTTCTACCGTATAAACGTAAATATTTATGCAAGTACAGTTGACAGGTTTTTTGGCTATTCTCATTTACCATTCCAAATTGAATCTTTTTGTACTTTTAGTTGAAAATCTACAGTCAAAGCTAAAGAATATTAAAGCTGTTTCAAAGAGCCCTGTAAGACAAAACTTGATGATACATGCAAATTTGGTGTATTCGACTATGACGATGATATCATTACATTTGGAATGGATTTTTATTCTTCTATTAAAAAAAGCACATCTCAAAATGAAACTGAAACTGAAACAAAAACAGAAACAGAAACTGAAACTATCGGGAACCAACACTCAACTGATATACGGCTAATTAACATACGGTTAGACTATACAACTACTGAATGTTGTTCTAATTTAAGTATTTAGCAATTATTTAAAAATTAAGTGGTTATTTGTAGTGGCTTATTAAAAGTGATTCTTGGAGTACGTTTGCTACTGAAAATTCTTGTGATTTATTTGATAATTTTTACACAATATATACTTGTGAATATGCTAAATTACTACATCTCATAGATTGCGTTTGGCTGGTAGAGCAGAACCGAAATATTTCGTTTTTATTTGACAATTGTTGATGTTTGTAAAAATTTGTCATACATGGAAGCATGATTACACAGAAATGGAAATTAAACATCACATAATATTAATATAGTAAAAATGAAGAGTCCCTCTTGAAATCATACAAAAACAATGGTATAGTCAACATTATCTTCCAGTTTTATTGATCTGAGCTGGTAACTTTTTGCTTTACTTTTCTACTTTGCTCAGTTAAGGATAGACAGGGAAAGCACTGAAAATGTTTATTTAATCGGGGTTAAAATGCATTGGTTCAAAAAAGCTGCTAAAAATATCAACAGGTATATATAATTTGATGAAAAATTTAGCAAAACTTAATAATTAAAAACTTTACCAAAAAATTTGAAATCCTCAGATTTATAATTATCTTAAGTCAGTTTTTAAACGTAATTTGTATATCTGTTTGAGAAATTTGTAAAGCACTTTTTAAAATCACATAAGAAAAAGCATTTAAAGATTTGTGTAATGCAATGATGCCATGCCTAAACAATTTTTATTCGAGTGCATGTCATTCAACATGGAAATGGCTTAGTCATCTGGGCTAAATTTAAAGCATTCATAAGCCAAGTAGTGAGGGAACACGATAACCTCAATGATCCTCTGTTTGACAAATGCGCACATTAAGATATCGGTTACGAAAAATGGTTAAAAAAAGTTTTTTAGTAAGGTTTTAATACATATCTTTAGCTAAAGATGTACTTATACTTTGCAAATACATATGACAAAGTTAACATTCTGCTTCATATACTGTAAAATGCATCAACCAGATTAATTATAAAAATAGCGTCACTGCACCTTTTTTTGTAGTTTAGTTTAATATGCCATTTGTTTAGTAAGCAGACACAGCTACATAACCGTCTTTGCAAAGAGATGTCAAAAAAATCGCTAGTGGATGGAATTAAGTAAGATTCTCCTCTAGACCAATGTAATTATCTAAAGGGGTTTCTTTCAGATCCAGAGAGAAAAAATTTTCATCTTAATAATTTCGTCATATATACGCAATAATTTCCTTGTTTTATAAATACCAATGTAACCAAGAATAAACAAACTAGAATCTACATATGACACTCTAGAAAACATTGAAAAAACGAAATCTTTGGAGAACATCACAGCATCTAAACAGAGACATCAAGACTATCGGGATAGCCGTGTTTACTGTTGAGTAAACATGTTTTAGCCTACGTGTACATATCTAATGTCATTTGTTATTTGTGACTAATTCTATTAAACTCAGTTACAATTTATCGTGAATTGTAAATTGTTTGCCGAAACAAGGGAGGCAAGCTCCAACAGAGTAAATGCAAAAATATTTTTCCGACTTATATTAACGGCGGCGAATTTTTAAATGAATATGCAAAGGAAAACAAACAAACAAAGACAACAACAAAAGAAGAAATTTTTTGCACATTTGAGAATGGCGGTGCTGTGGTGCAGGATGTAAGAATAAAGACTAAAATATGTCAAGTGCCTTAATTAATTGCAGTTTGGACATTTAAAGCCTTCTGCGTAGCTCTATATATAAAATATATAAATGCTTACTAAAATGTTTTCTCCTCCTTCTTAAAGATGATGTTAAAGAAATAATTCAAAAAATTTGAATGCATCTGAATATCAATACACCACTTTGTTAATATGAAAAACGTGTAGTATTTTCAAATTTTACGTGGGGCATACTGTAAACATAGCGTACATTTTAACGGCTCTATCTTATGTTCTTACACAGCGTTGACTCTTTTGACTTAAAAAATTCGACTATTAGTGTGTTTACTTTGCAGTTTTATGATATAAATATGATTTAAGATCTTTGTAAAAAAACAGTGGGGCTCTTAGTGATATGTGTAGTTTCTATAGTCAATTATATTCGACTCAACTGGTCTTTGTCAAATTACTGTAGGTTAATCATTCTTAAAGAGCAAGAGAAAATCCACTGAAGCCGTTGTTCTTAGCTAAAAAAGAGTAGGTCTAGCCCACCGGAATTGTATAGCTGGTTTCAGTGAAGCCTGTTGACAAATTGAAGCTATAATGTTTGCCACTGAATCAGCAGTCAAATCGTATAAATGTATAACATATACACAGCAAGAGAACAAATGGCTTGTACCAGGGCATGTAAGTAGCATACCTTATTTGACATTAAACCAAGTTGACTTCACATCACTAAAAAAAGTACTCAAA